TTGATGTTCATATGATGAAGACATAATCTTTCAATCATTTTAATTAAGGTCTGAAGCTGGCATGTCAGTAACGGCTAGTAGTTTTTGTTAATTTATGTATCATTGTCATTTTGTTTAGTTTCTTTTGTTACCTATTCTGACATCGGACTCGGACTTCTTTTGAACTGAGTTTTACTGTGCGTATTGTTGTGTGTTTGTTTTTTTTTCTACAATGGCTAGAGGTATAGGGGAGGGTTGAGATCTCAAAAAACATGTTTTACCCCGCCACATTTTTGCGCCTGTCCCAAGACAGGAGCCTCTGGCCTTTGTTAGTTTTGTATGATTTTTAATTTTAGTTTCTTGTGTATATTTCGGAGTTTAGTATGACGTCCATTGTCACTGAACTAGTATACATTTTTGTTTAGGGGCAAGCTGAAGCCCGCCTCCGGGTGCGGGAGTTTCTCGCTCTTTGGTCGGGTTTTTGTCTCTTTGACACATTCCCCATTTCCATTCTCAATTTTACATGTAAAATTATACAAAATTAAATTGGCAGAAAAACAAAGTCTAATTATAATTATAATTATTAATTAAAAAAATAAAAGATCTGACACCCAACCATACTTGTCATGACACGAACAGTTCAATCAAAACCTTCAGTACCTAGAATCTATATTTCAAAACCATTGTGTATTATTTGTGAAGTTGATGCGGAATATTTATTAACAAGGTCTCAGTATCTTCTAAAAAGGACGAGATGTTCTTTGACATATCCCATCTTTCTGCTCAGACACTGGTGACTTTTAACAAAGTCTGAGTAGCATCTGTGTAATTTTCTCCATTGAATGTTTTCAAAATTGCAACGAAAGAAATTGCTTGGCATGACTAAATATCTACCTGAAAGAATAATGACGACACCAATGACTTCCACACGTGAATACATACGTGTCCCCCTTTTAAATGAAACTACTGCGTGTTAGAAAATGATCTGTTATGTGGAGTAAAACGGTCAGAAATTGCATTCAATTCAATTCAAAAGTCCTTTTACACGACGCCACTCTTTGACATCATGAATTACCGCCCCCCCCCCCCCAAAAAAAAAGGGAAAAACACTGCAACATTCAAGGAAGGAAAAGGAAACTATACTCCACTACAACAATATTTGAACACCTGTTGAATCAGTTAACTTTAAGAATATGCCCCTGTAGATTTTTTTCTGGATTCTAGATTCGGTTGCTGTACAGTAAATAAATACCTATTTTCATACACATTTGATTTTGTTGATTTCGATTCATATTAAGGCAAATTTTATAACCATCTTATGACTATCATATGATATGTCATAGAATGTAAATCATAGCTGTCAAAAGATAGTCATACCTATGATGCTTTAAGAACAGTCAAAAGTGAAAATATGTAACTATGAAAATTATAACTATTACTATTCTTATCTTATACGAATATTTCATATGTTTTTCATTATAATGGACGCGATAAACATGAAATTATATATGAATAGGAGTTAAAATCTAAGTTCATAATTTGTTTAAATTTTATAGTTAGAACTTCGCGTTCATGTATTATTATAATGAAGTGTTATCTTATTGGGAATGCATTTAATATTTTGTACATAGAATGCCCGTGCAAACATGTTAATGAACTACTATACAAAGAAAGAATATTTAATAAAAATAATCATTACAAAGAAAAGGATTCCAAATTGTACGTCGCTGGAGATTCAAATTTTAAATAACGAAGTGAAGAAGAAATAAATCTTTACTATTTAGTGGATTAAGCGACAGAACAAACAGTGCCAAAAAGAGAGCAAGGAAGGCTGCATACAGAAACGGATTTTCTTAAAGGAGAGGTCAGGGCCTCGCCCCTTATGGAGCTATATATATAGTTTATGTATAGACTTTTAGCATATACCACTCCAAACGATGCCTAGTTTGGGCCCCCTTTTCTCAAAATCCTTGATCTTATTCTTCATGTTGCATGTTGCATGTGTGATGTCATAACATTCATGACAATCATAAGAACATCATAAGTCATGTCCCGAGGTGTCTTAAGTTTAGTGTACGATCAAAGTTATGAATATCATGACTTGAGACCCTTCGAATACATATCTTATGACATGATATTAAACCATTGTAAGACATGTCTTAATCATAAGATACTTTTGAAAACCAAGTTTCCTGTTTTGTTTTTCAATTTCCTCCTTGTCCCTGATATAAATAATTGCAAATCCGTGAACAGATCTACAACATTTTAAAAGTTGGTGCTATGTCAATGTGACCTGCAGTCACCTATCATGTTGCCTGCTATGACTGTAAATGGTATTTAAATATTTCCAATAAACAGAAATTTTCAACGTAATACAAAGAGGATAATCAAAAGATAAAAACGGAAAATCTGAAACCTTAAGTTAAAGTAAAAGGACAAACAATGCATATTATAGAGATGACAGACTTTATGATGTTAAGCACTAACTGATTCACTTGGCATCAGTATATCTCCATTTTTTGCCGGAATTAGTATTACTTGTAAATCACAGGGTATTCTATTGATAATCAAGAAACATTGCACTTTTTTATTTTACAGCTCATACATGCTCAAATATTTTTCCTTTTAGATATTTAGATCTATCTTTTTAGTTGGGACTACATAAACTTGCGTATACACTTTTCGTAGTGCAACGTTATTGACGTTGGGTGACTGGCAGTAACCGTTCACATAAGCTTTTATCCTCGTGCCATAAATTCAAGACAAATTGAATACAAAACTAGACGGTAAGGAACCAGCTACGGAACTTTGTTTGGGGTTTAATTAATTAAGCTACGGTAATTAAAGCAATTACTATATGAAGTTATAAAGTACATTACATACGCTAACTATTCATTATTATATAATATTTCAGACGATCGTTGGCTAGGAGACAAACCGGCTAACAAAATTGTGGTCTCCAAATTTAATAATATCTTTTAGATGAAAAGTGTCCATAGAAATTATATTTATAAAAAAAGCTAACATTGTCCCATAATGCTGAAATTTGATAAGCATCTACAAATTTACTGAGTGCAAGAGTAACTGTAACCATAAAATATTTCCATGTAAAAACCTCTCTTCGGTTTGCTTAGTAGTTAAGCTGAACAATACGGAGGATTTCCTCTTTCTCTTCATGTTGAAGGAATTTGATTAAGTCGAATTGTGATAGCGCAAAATCAGTCTCAACGTCAAATAAACTACCACTCATTTTGAACATTGGGATGGAAAATGAAAAAAAAAATGTTGTCATGTGATATATATTTGGGTCTACTCGAATATTACATTACTGTAATGAGCATGAAAATAAACTGAAAAATGTGGTTTCCAAAATATGTAGATCCAAACATGTAAATTCATTATTTTCAACATATGTTATTTTTGTTGTTTATTTTGTTTCTTTGAGTTTTTTTTGGGGGGATGGGTGTTGATGATCCCGGAATGGGGGTGATTGCCTTTCCACACTTTGAAAATTAAGGTAGGGGGCAAACACATATTTCTTTGTTTGTTTGTTCGTACGTATGGTTTTTTTTATTGGTGTGGTATTTATAAGATGAGATAAGATAAGATATTTAATTTTCCAAATTAGGTCCCTAGGGGGCATACACATATAACACATATAATCTCTACAACATAAAGTATTTTACAGGACATTCATATAATACACCTAAAGTATTGATATAGAGTGATACAGGCTATTAAATGTTAGATTAAAAAAAAACATTTAAGAGTTGTCCTCTCACTTGATTTTATTTGCAGTTATTTTTATTTTATTTTTTTTAATATTTTTGCTGGAAATGTATAATATATATTTGATTGTTTAGCTGCAACAGGTACCAAATGCTTGGGCGTAGGAACCTGGAAAGTGGACAATAGTATTTTGCCTATTGGATTTATAATGAAATACATTCATCGTCATGTTAAACTTATAGCCTCCTACTATTAACATGATTGTTATGACTTTTCGATAAACATTTAGAAGGCGTAACTTCACTCTCACCATAAAGAAGCCTTGGCGCAAAAGCTTTCGTATAAGTAGTAATCATCTTCTTACGATATCATATTGGGAAAAAGTAACACGTGGATATCGTATCAAGATAAGATAAAAGATGATAAGAAAAGTAATATTTATTTTGATTCCAGAGCCATATAACCCAAAAACCGACCTGCAAGGCATTAGTGAATATATAAAACAAGCAACTAACATTTAAATGTAAGTACACGCACATATTCAACATATACACATGACCTTAAAGCAGGAACAGTTAAAATATCAAAATTTAAAATTATTTTATTGTATGTCATGTGATAGCTTGAAAAGAATCAGCGATGATATTTGAAGTGTCTAACATGTATAATGTTTAAATGTTAAATAGCGCATTTATTGACGTTTCCTAAATTTTACGATGACTTTGAACGAAATATAATTCTTAACAAAAGTATTTAAGCAAATCATACTTATACAAAAATTTGAGTTGATCCCGATATGATATGTTATCGAAAAACCAATTAAGTGTTTGGTGACTTGTGAGTCGGTAACAATGCAAAGTAGCTTTTTATATGACTGTCAAACAATTAACTTTATATTCAAACTTCCTAAAGGGTATTTTGGAACGACCGTTGCACTTTTGTTTTTAGCAAATGTTAACATATTTAGCGTTGTACCTTCATTATTTATCGAGGACATTTAGGTTAATGTATCTGATGAAAATTAAGAACAACAGAATATAATCTCTTTCAATACACTAATTGTTGGGATATTTCTGTCTTAAGAATAATACATTTTCCTAAAATCTAACAATTTTCACGGAAATTTCATTACAAAAATTGGTCTCCTTTTACATATAGCATTGAGTCCGCGCAGTTTCAGAAATGAAGGGTAACATATTTCTACAAACAGGGTTATCCGTTATTCATTAACTAAATATTTAACAATTATAAGTGTATGTTCACGATTATTACACACATATCATGTAAAAAACCGATTTTGTATATTTATTTGTAACTTGTCTTATCTATCTTAGTATATTGACAGTTTCCTATAACATAAAACGCCACTAGAAAAATAAGATGCAGCCGTATAGGAGAGCATTTGCTCACAAAGTAACATTATAAAATTATTTTAAACAACAGTCATCTAAACTGCTTTTCTCGACGTTGTTTGTATTCAGAGGAACTTTTTACGTTTAATGATCATCCTGTAACTTTTTGTTATCATTATTAATTTTTACAAATATTTTTCTGTGATCTCTATAAAACCTGTATCATCCTTGAGGAAAACTTGCGTAATTTTGAAGACTTTTTTCTACTGAAGAGGATTTGTCATCGGTTTCCTTACTGCACTTGCGATTAATGTAATATTTTCTTTTCATGTCTGATGATGTCATCAGTGATAGAAAATATATTAATTTTAAGTAGTTAAAATCAATATATTACAAAGTGCCTTTGTACCGAATCATTGCACATGGTTACGAATATAGTTTGACAAAAAAAGTAAAAAGAAAATGAAAATACTAGTACATAGACGGTGCTTTTACTGTATATATATATTAACGAATAGATATTTCGAAATCAGTCGCAAATCTGGAACGCTTAAAAGATGATTCTTCTTAAGAAAAGGTAATTTTGTTATATTTTGAAGCGATTTTAAACGGAAACTTTTTCTGAAACTGCTAATGAAAATAAAGATAATAAGCATTAGTAATTTGCAACTAACCTCATTGTATTTGTATGAAAATAATCAATTACATCGCTGGCGGAATTATTTTCCTTGTGTTTACGTTTTTTATCTTGTTATTTAACATTTTATTTATCTTTTGGTTTTTGTAATTTGATTTCTTATAAAGTTCCTCTGAAAGTAATTTGTAAAATTATTCTTTTTAATCACACACCTTTCATCCATAACCTTTTCATCCAATTGCACTCATCTTTTCAAATCGTTGCTACGTACATGTATGTATTCTTATTTAACATAAAAACATAACAGGGCAAACAAAATATATATGTAGTAACAAAACCATATGTAAATAATTGAAAAGTCTATACAATTGACACGATAAAAAAAAAACAGTTGTCGTCGAATCTAATATTGAAAAGTTCCTTCATTTTTCTGGTTTAATAGTTGTTTTTTTAATCTTTATCTCTTAGAACTGTATTTTTTCCATATGTTTTCTATGTGTTGTTTAAACTTTATAATGTCAATAAATACGACCAGTCCGACGACAACAGAGATGAAAACGGCACCAACGAAACCAATTGTCTGAGATAACTTGCGATTGTCATAAGCCGATGTCAGCTTGCGAGTAGTTGACGAAAGCATAGTTTTATTTACTTTTAATTCATCTTGTATCTGTCGGATGACATGTTCTAACTTCTTATACAGTTCCGTTTTTGTTTGATTTCGTTGTATTGTCGATTCCCAATATTCCAGTTTTCTTCTGTAATCACATCGACAATTGCACATTTTTGTTGCTGAAATAGAAAAACTGTGATTTTCTGTCTTTGTCTAAAAGCATAATCGAACAATTGATTTTGATCAGGGGCTGACAAAATATTTTCAGATACGAAATACAATTTTTAAAGGAGAGGCGGAAGATATCAAAGATATATTCAAACTCAAAGGTCGAAAACGATCTGACAACGCCATGCCAAAAAGTAGAATTGGTTTATTGTGCGGTCTTTGATCGCACATGATTGCAAATTTAACCACAACTAACAACTTTTGACAACAAGAAATCTGGGTTTTTTTCTTCGATTTTCTTGTGTTATATGCACAATGTAAACATATCATGCGTATTTGCTACAACCTAACAGAAACCAACCAACGCCGACCACTTAATTTCAGATTCCTGACTTTGGACAGGCATTAATAGAATTAAGCAAAGTTGTAAAATGTTCGCGAGCGTCAACTCTCAGACTAACCTGTGACAGTGATGTAACAGCACAACATCACAACATCAGAACAAACTATAAAAATCATTTAGAAATAGATGACACATCCGAAGCACGAAAACAACATACATAAAGACAAAGACATAAAGCACTCATCTAAGAGTACTCGTAGTTACTGAAAACTAGTTCAAAGCCAATAACAACTAATCAAAAACGGGATTCTCTGTATGCAATGTAAATACGTCATAAACAGTCTCGTTCTGTGATCTTTGGTTTTCTTTGTCGTGTTTTGTTGACTGTTACTTGTCATCTCAATTTTTCTCGCACTTGGGTTGCTTTAAGAATGATTTTAGATTGCACCCATTATGCCTATGGTGGCTTCTTAGTTTATTAGGAATGGAAGCAACTACTTATGACTGACTGTGTAATGGTGTTCGTCTATTTTGGGTTGTTCTTGTATTGTATTGTACTATGATTTTCAGATGTTTGATTTTGTTTAGTGAAACAGTTGTTTTTTGGTATTTTTTTCTATGTCTCTTTTCTTCATGTTTAAGTTTCACATTACTACAGTTAATATTATGTAATCCTTTAAACATTTGAAAACTCGACCTTACATAAATTACTTTACTCATCTAGTGAAGGAATAGTAATGGTTTGGGTGACCGATTATGTTTAATAAAATGCATGCTACAGTTGTCCCTTTATCAAAACAATTATCTAATAAGATATTTGAATCGTAATCATAGTTTTTCAGAAGCGTAATTGTAAACAATATATAAACATACAAGTATTTACAAACAGTCTTGTAATTTTGGTCTCAGGTAATCCATCGATGCTTGTAAAACTGCATTCGTAATTTCCTTCATCAGACCATTTCACATTATCGAATACAAGGTTTGTCAAAGATACACCATTTGTATATTCAGACACTTTTACACTTGTGTTTTTGACAGACCTGGTCCATGAAATCTGCATGTTGTTGACGCCACAAGTAAGTTGAACGCTTTCACCCTCGTTGACTGTTACATCTATTAAGAAATATTAGCATATATAAATCATGTAAATATGATATCTGTGGTACATAATTTTGAAACTTCTTTTGGTTTCAAACGCTGTTTTATAATTTTATTTTTTTATACATATAATCTATGTGAATAAACATGGGGTGAAGAATCAGTTACTACTTGTTGTGCAAATCTATTTAATCAAAGGCATTAAGGAGCATTGATATTTATGTAGATGTTACAGTACAAAATGGAACCGAGTAGGTCCCAGAATCCGCCTAATAAAATTGCTAAAACAATAACTATTATGATTTAGCTTCTAATCGAATTTTTTTATTATGCATTTTTTTACTGATGCACTTATAGTGAGTAGAAAAAAAGTAAATGAAAATGCCGCTTGCAATTCTTCATTACAAACAAAATATGGTAAACTTTCAGGACATTCTTTTATTGATGATAATATTTGCTAATATTTTGTTTATGGAATTTTGATAAGCAAACAATGTTGACCTTATACCATGGATAGAGCTCAGGGAAATGCATATTACGTAAATTAACATAATTGTCTTCTTAATATTAATTTTGAGACGTAATTGATAATTTAACATGTTTGTGCTACATTTTGTATCAAAAGACATCATTAAGTTCAATGAATTAATTTTTAATCTGATAGACAATACATAAAATCCTTCCAATAAAATTTTGGTTTTGGTTTAAAAGGTCTTAATACTTGCTAAAAATAATTGCCGAAATTGAAGTATTTAACCATATACATGATATATAGGTTTCTATTATCTAAAAACAATATTAGTTTTGGATGATGGATCCTAATTATTGTCACATTAACCTTTTATATCTGTTTGGGTTGCTCACCCAATGTTGTCAATATAACAGAACTATAAACAATTGCCATACAAGTGGGCGGTTTAGCTAGCTAGAAAACCAGATTTAGCCCACCATGTTTTTTTCGGAAATGCCTATACCCAGTCAGGAACATGGCAATCGTTTTTCACTTGTTCTGTTGATCTAAAGCGTTTGATTTAGTCAGTTTTTATGGACTCAGTATTTTTGCTATACTTTTTTATCAAAATGATCTGAAGTGTATGTACATGCACTTAAGTCTTGTTTTGTTAAAACCATAAAGGACCTAATATGATACTGTAAATTCAAGAAATAAATAAATGTCACATTAGACATTTAGAAAAGACTCTACTGCGAGATCAATTCATAAGAAATTGGCCCTACCTCTTTACTGTTTGAATCACACAAGTTCAATTATAATAGTTTATTTCATTTTAAAGGAAAATCCTGTTATTTTGTCTTTTTTAGTAAACATCCAGTACAATCTAAGATCCCCCTAGAACAAATCCGAATATCCCCATTTCTACCAGTAGATATTGGAATTCTGATTTATACTGGTTTTTAATTAGTGTAAATCAGAATTCCAATTTCATTTCTATTGGTAGATAGTGGAAATCCAATTTGTATTCTGAGGATTCTGGATCCTACTGGATTTCAATTTGTACTGTTATATAGACTTTAAAAGTAGCCACATGCATTTACTACATGTTATACGTCCCGTAAATGGCCGTCAAGTTGTATAAAACCATTGTAATGGACAGTTGAATATAGTTCGCTCATCTCAGACTATACTTAATATTACTCATATTCATGTGTTGACCACATGTTTTCGCAGTCTTAGATCTTTAGATACAAGAATAGTTTCTGATTTGTGATTCTTATTCCCGGTTGTGACAATTTTACTGAGTAAGGATTCGCATGGCGGGTGAGGCATATATATCAGGAGACGCTTAACCTGTCGACACACACAGTCTTGATCCTTTTAAAGTTCATTTGATTCCCAATGCTTTTGTTTGTTTCCTTTGATTTGAACAGACATATTTACTTCTGTAATGTAATGTATACTCTATTCCAAAGGCGATTATCCGGTTGTATTGATTTTTTACACGAGCCGATGGTACTGCTAATCGAACGTTTCGCACTCGGAGATATGAAAAGTCCAGTAGCCAGCAATTCCATTAATAAAGCCATTTTCTGTAACTTTACTCTTGATAGAAAAAAAATAATCAATGAAAACACCAACGTGAAGGTTTTACTACTCTGATGACATAAATAACCAAGAGTGTTTAGAGTTTCAGAGCTCTTTAACTTGGTGTTTGTAATTGGTTATGCCTTCTAATTATTTTGATTGAACATTCTTGTGTAAACGAAACGCGTGTGTTTTAAGGCAATTTGAATTATTCATTGGCTGATTATTTTGGAGGATTCGAACGTTCACTGTACGAAAATTATGGGGGCCATGTTACGTCTCATTCACCCTTTCTCAGAGTACTCTCACATTTCGGGACCTTTAACACTGGACACTTTTAATTTGCAAAACACTCATTTGCAAATCCGCCGCCGCCTCTCCTTAGACCTACAGTGTCGTGTATATAACCAAAATGTGCGGAATTACATGGGATTCAATAATTTCATTGCTTTTCTGCTGTTATTATTATATATATTTTGTAATTTGATTTAGAAAAACATGGGATTTTCAATATCCCATGGGATAGGGCAAATCCCATGGGATTTACCATTATCCCATGGGATTTTGGTTAAATCCCATAGGATTTTTTTGGGTCCCATGGGATAATAGTAGTCCCATGGGATATTTGTTGTCCCATGGGACAAAATAAATCCCATGGGACTATAATTATCCCATGGGATTTTTAATATCCCATGAGACAAAATAAAATCCTATGGAATTCAAATTATAAATATACAGTAATGTGTATGTTACAATGAATTCTGTTTGGTAGTAAAAAGTTTATAATATATATACGAGTGTATTTTGTTTTTTTTTCATTTGTCACAAACATGTTTTTAATTTGCTTATATGACAATAAAGATTATTATTATTTTTGAAAGTATAATAATATTTAAAGTAAAAAAATAAAATCCTTTAACTGAAATAAAATGATGACATGTCTTAATAAAAGAAAAAAATATTGATTTGAAATCTTTGTCTTGTTTGTTTTATTATGAAAAATAGAACTGAAAAAAATATTTCATATTCTGACTGAATAAATTGACAAAGCACAGTTAATAGTTTACTCTTTTAATGAGGTAAATTTTCTTTGTTATAGTTCCACTGCAATACATGAATATGCAAACGATTTGAATCTCATACCTTTGTGGTGTTCATAATATTACGTTTATATTTGCAAATTTATAAAATAAACACTTTTCCTGTTAAGTTTTAGTTTTCTTGTTTCAGCTTGCTATGTACAATTATTCAGTCCACTATATAAGAGTCAAGTAAATAAATTATTTCATCCACTAGGATATTCCTACAATTCTTAAACAAAACATTTTTGCAATCTGTTCTTCAAAAATCTTCCTCCGTACATCTTTATTGGATGGAGCGATTTAAATGAGTGGACAAAGCAAGTTCATTTGGACAACAAAATACTAATATATTTTTTCAATCCTCCATTCTTTCAATTGATAATTACGTTGTTGCATTTACATGATTTAGTTCTTGTGCATCTATGATCATGATAATATGACTCCTTTTTGTTTATAGTCATTATGTTGAAATTTCCTCTTTCTTATGTAGGAAAAAAACACATTCCATTTCAAATTAATAAAAAAGTCACACTATGTAGAAAAATATCAACTTTAAGTTTTCAGTTCAGTATTGACCTGTTGAATGATGATCATGAAAACCAAGATGTCTGACCTACAAATACACAGAACTCAAAAATTATAAATGAAAAGAAATACAGCAATAAAATGGCTACTTTATCATGTTTATATACATTTTGATAAAACTTTCATTTGAATATTTAAAATCGTAAGAACTCTTATTTCAGTGCTTTTTGTCTATGGTTTTCATATTAGTTGTTTTTGTGCCTTGTTGCAGTCTTTTGAGTTAAGCCAATTGCAACAAATGTTTACAGTTTGTTCAAAGGTTGTGCTGTTATTAAAACCTCTGTCCTAGGTTAGGGGTGGGTTGAATGCTCACAAAATGTTTATTTTATTAGTTGATATTTGCTATGAATTAGCGGTCAGTAACTGTGAATACTAATAGATCGGTATGTTGAGTCTTTTTTGTTACAGGGAAAGAATAAATATCCAGCCACATATCGGGTCTGTGTTTTTGGTAGCTGTTTTTCTGCTTTGTTGCATTCTAATGAGTTAATAAAATTGAGAATGAAAACGGGAATGTATAAAAATAACCTGACTCAAGAGCAGAAAAAAAACCCTTTTCAACTGATTTTATAGTTTTTATATTGAACTGACACTTAAACCACTGTCCTTAATTAGAGGAGGATTTGGTGCCAGCAAACATGTTAAACCATGCCACATTTTGTAAGTGTCTGTCCCAAGTCAGGGGCCTGTTATTCAGTGGTTGTCAATTGTTGCTATATATCATATTTGTTTTTTGTTTATTGTTTTGTGCAAAAATCAGGCACTTAGCTTTCGCCTTTGTGGTGTTTCCCCCCAAGCATGTTTAGCATGGATAGACATTATGTCCTTTTTAAATGACACCATGCCCTTTTTGAATTGTTTTATATTTGTTTTTGTATTTCATGGCCTTTTATAGGTTACTATGCAGTATAGGGTTTGCTCATTGTCCAAGGCTGTACAGTGAACTAATTTTGTTAAATTTCATGTCATTTGATCCTTATTGGAGAAAAGTCTCATTGGCAATCATACCGCTTCTTATTTTTATATCAACCCTGCCATATTTTGCCTGTCCGAAATCAGGAGCCTGTACATAGTTCAGTGGTTGATGTTGGTTCACGTCCGTCATATTTGTTTTTTCATAACTTGTTCTTTTTTATGAATTAGTCTGGTATATTCGAAGTTTGAATTGATGTTTTGTTCCAAATTTTGTTTGTGGTGTCTTTTATAGAGGACTATATCATGTATAGGTTATGGGTTTTCTCATTATTTACAGGTCATCATTGGCCTCTAATAAGTAATTGCATTGCTTTCATCCACTTAATTGAACT